GCCCACTTTCTCAACTTGAGAACCAGAAAAGTTGGAAGGCTGAAATTTCGGGAGCATGTTCCCATGCCATGCGCGACCCTCCCGTTTTGATTTCATCTCCCGCGGACGCCTGGATGCCGTGTACGGATGCCTAAAAAAAATTTTTTTTGACGGGAAAGCGACCTCGGGAACCACATGAGCCAAGGGGCTGAAACTTAGCAGGAATATTCCCTATGCATGCACTAGCTGAAAATTTTAAATTCAGCTCCCAGGTGTGCGTGGTACTCACGTAAGGGCATATGAAAGTTTTAGTTGGAGAATTGCTAACTCGAGTACTAGGGAAGCCAGAAAGTTGGAATTTTGGGGTAATGTTCCTTATCCAAGTACAATTCAGTTATTTCAACTTCAGCTCCAAGCTATGCGTGGTACTCAAATAAGGGCGTATCAAAGTTTCTGCGGAAAAATTACTAACTCGACAATCAGAAAAGCTGGGAGGCTGAAATTTTAGCGGGATGTTCCCTGTCCACGTGCAGTTTAAAAATTTCAAATACAGCTTTTCAGGCACGTAGAGTACCCAAGTTCTGCATGTGAAGATTTCAGTGGGAAAATTGCTAACTCGGTAACCAGAAAAGCTGGAAAGCTGAAAACTTGAGGGAATGTTCCCTGCCCAAGTACAACTCAAATATTTCGAATTCAGCCCCAAGCTATGCGTGGGACTGGCGTAAGGGCGTATGAAAATTTTTGCGGGGAAATTACTAACTCGGGAACCAGAAAAGCTAGGAAGTTGAAATTTTAAGGGAATGTTCCCTCTCCAACTACAACTTAAGGGTTTCAAATGCAACCTCGAAGTAGGCGTTGTTCTTGCTTACGGGCACTTAAAAATTTTAGCGGAAAAATTCCTCACTGAACAGCTAGGTCACTTTTAAGGAACGGCAGTCAAATGGAAGTTGTACATTTACTTTATGCAAGATTTATGGTGATTTATGCTAGTGACCGCAAAAGATAGGTGTAAAACAATAACCATTCACGCAGCTAATGACCTGAGTACTTCGAGTCCGGTGCAAAAACGCATGACCGCACGAGCCCGCGTGGCGCGTTCCAGGCTGGGCTTAATTTTAATATTCATCGTCTGTGTGTTATACGGTTTATGCGTTTTTGCATCTATGCAAATGCAACCCAGGCTTATGCGCATCAGGCTTGCCGGTGCAGCCATGCGTTTTTGCATTAAACTCGCAGGTCGGTAATAGTAGGAATGATCCCTGTGCTGGGTCCTAATGCGTGGGCCCACATTGGCCGTGCTTCGCACCCTTCCGGCGTGCTCGAGCAACAGCGTCAGTTGGGATGAAGGTGGTGCATTATAGGACTATATGGACCTTCAGGTACATGACTGCTTGTTCCTCGACAACATATGATTTAAAGATTTCAAATTCTAGCCCTCGGGTACACGTGGTACTGCTCA